CGGGTGGGGGTTGCGGTGGTGGAGGGGGAGGGGGATATACGCTCTGGGATGAGGGGCTTGGGGTACAGGTGGCTCGTTATTAGGCTCAAGCTCATTGCTAAGACAAGCTGCCTAATGCCTGCCAGTACAGGGGCATCAAGCAGCTAGCAGGTATCCTGGAGTGGTGCATGATGCCTGTGCAGTTCTTGCACAGAAGGCAGAGGCAGCACACAGAACCCCATGGTCTCCCCACGTAGGAGCTGGACCTGCTGTGCTGGCCACTTCCCCTCTAGTCACAGCACAGAGGACAGCTGGAGTGGGGTTGGGGACAACGAAGAAGGGTCTCTCTCTCCCCTGACTGTGACATCTTGGTGAAGGAGCTGACAGGGAAGGGTGCCCCCCTGCCACCAATAGCAGCTTTGGGGAGAAGTATCTCTCTCCCTGCTGCAGCACTGAGCCCCTGTGTGGGACTTAATGGGAAGCTATATGACTGCACAGCTTAGCAGGAACTTAAATGATGACAATGGTCCCTTCTGGCCGTGGAATCTGTGAATGAATTTCTGTCTCAGTGGAGACTATCCCATTAGAGAGAGATAAAAAGGGTGCAACTGTCTAGCCAGTCATGCCACAAAAATGCAAGTTTGTTATCACAAGACAGATGGGAGGTGGAGACCTAGAAATAACCAGGGTGTGGGGTTTGTTTTTTTACAACTAAAAGTTGCAAATAGCAAGCAGTTAATTACAAGTTACTCTTTAAAAAGATAACAGATTAGCAAATGCTATTTCCCAAAATTAAAAGGTTTAAGAAGGGTAGCCAAGTTATTCTGTAACTGAAAAAACTTAAACAACAAATAGTCTTGCAACACTTTAGAGACTAAAAAAAAAATGTAGATAGTGGTATGAGCTTTTGTGGGCACAACCCACTTCTTCAGATGAATGGATTAGCCTTGATTTCAAAACAGATCAGTACAAGTTGGAAAATTTAAGTGTGTATAAATCGTTTAAGAAGGGTAGCCAAGTTATTCTGTAACTGAAAAAACTTAAACAACAAATAGTCTTGCAACACTTTAGAGACTAAAAAAAAAATGTAGATAGTGGTATGAGCTTTTGTGGGCACAACCCACTTCTTCAGATGAATGGATTAGCCTTGATTTCAAAACAGATCAGTACAAGTTGGAAAATTTAAGTGTGTATAAATCTTCTCATTTCATTTACATAACTTCAGTCACGAAAGTTAACAAATGTGCTTTAGATGACCCATTCAGCCAAAATAGTCTTGGCAGCCCAATCACCTACAGATCAAGACATATTTTGCTTTAAAGCGCTATACAAATATTTGAAGATGTTGCTACCGATTCACTTCCCAGGAACGGAAGTTTAGTGAGTTGTCTGCATGTGACTCGTGGGTGTGTAGAGGGGTGTGTACAACACGCAAGAGCGAGAGGAACAAATGAGCTAGTACTTCAGCCAGAGAAACCTGCCTACGTGAAGCAGAGAGCTGCCGGCATGGATTCCCTTTCCCAGCTAGTGAAACCAGATCCGAGTCCCAAAAACACCCTTGTCCTATAGAAAGGACCAACTCCAACATGCTGTTTGGATTAGCCTGCCTCATGCTGCAGGCAGGAACAAGTACTCTCTCAGAGCCATGTTTTGAAGAATTTTACTCAGAACTGCTGTATGGAATGGAACACAGGAAAAAGCTGCATAGTTTGCCTCTTCCTAAGAGATGAGGTGTGTAGTAGACAAGAAAAACAGTCTTTATCTGCAGCTAGGGCAATATAGTCCCATCTTCCAGATACAGTCTCATCTTCTATTTAACCCCAGGGCTGTGTCTAGACTGGCCAGTTTTTCCGGAAAATCAGCTGCTTTTCCGGAAAAACTTGCTAGCTGTCTACACTGGCCGCTTGAATTTCTGCAAAAGCACTGACTTCCTACTGTAAGAAATCAGTGCTTTTTGCGCAAATACTATGCTGCTCCCATTCGGGCAAAAGTCCCTTTTGCACAAAACTTTTGTGCAAAAGGGCCAGTGTAGACAGCTGAGATTTGTTTTGCACAAAAAAGCCCTGATCGCAAAAATGGCAATTGGGGCTTTTTGCACGAAAGCATGTCTAGATTGGCCACGGACGCTTTTCCGCAAAAGCGTCCGTGCCAATCTAGACGCTCTTTTCCGAAAATGCTTTTAACAGAAAAGTTTTCTGTTAAAAGCATTTCCAAAAAATCATGCCAGTCTAGACATAGCCCAGTTGTCTAGCAATAGGTAGATAAGGTGGGTGATGTAGTATCTTTTATTAGAGTTCATCTTTAAAAAAGTTAATCTATGTAGCTCAAAAGCTTGTCTCTTTCACCAACAGAAGTTGATCCAATAAAAGCTATTACCTCACTCCCCTTGTGTCTTTAATACCCTGTGACCAACACAGCCACAACACTGCAAACAACTACAAATAGATAATTATAAATGAGGAAGTTAGGAAATTCTGATATGACTGTGACAGCACTGAGGAAATCCCTGAGGGAACGAGGAGCTTATTGAGATGGAATGAAAGACTCTGAAAAGAGTAAAGGACAGATCAGTGTGGGGAGAAGAGGATTTAAGGGACAACACCCAAATCTAGCTGAACAGAGTCTGTCTCATATTTTCCCTTTTCCAAATTCATGTTTCTCTCCATGTCCCCTTTGTGAGGAAGCCTGCCTCTCTCATGATAGTTACATACCCCAGGTTCACCTCTCAGGAGAGAGGATCCAACATAAATGTCACTTTTTTCCAATGCCATCATCCATCTAACAGTCACTTTATTAGTATGACAGCACACAATTTTGGATAATTTAACATTTTGCATCTATGGGCTGGTTTCACATTGTTGATAGGCTTGTCTATCTGTCACTTACTTCAAGGAGATAGCACATTTACAAGGATAACTAACCAGTACACACAAAGGGAAGGATTTCAGGATATAGCATGCTTTTACTACAAACCCCAAACCCAGTAGTTCCCAAAGTACATAGGGGAACTCTCCATTTTTTGTATTTACATTTTCTTCTAATTCCTCTTTAGAGTGATAAATCTAGAATAAACCTGTGTAACCCACACACCTAGTGGGGTGTAGTTCACTGTTCCAGGTAGTGGCATGTAGACCATTGGAGTGAGAGATATAAACAAATGAGCTCTACAGCCTAAACTGAGAGCCAGCTGGCTTTATAGCTCAAGCTGTAGTGTAGAGGCTCCTATACTAAGCTCCAAACATCCCAGGAATCTGTAGTGGTGGTTACATGCGGGTTACATACTTCCCCTAGCTAAGGAAGAGCATCCCAAGCTTCAAAGACCCAGCTGAGATCCGGGGCCAGCCCCCACTTGTAACCACCTGTCTGCTTTTCTTATACTGACATACTGCACATAAAAGGGCATGGCCCACAGTATTTACTATTCAACCATTTCCTTTTAGAAGCAAGAATGGGATTTTCAAAATACATCTTGCTTCCACTTCTACACTGAGTCATTTCTGATTAGTGTTTGCAGTGTTGCTGTAGCCATGTTGATGGCAGGATAACCGAGACACAAGGTGGGTGGGGTTATATCTTTTATTGGAACAGCTTCTTCAGCAAAAGAGAAAGAAGAATTGCCTGCGTGAAGAACTCTGTGTAAGTTTGAAAGTTTCCTCTTTCACCAACAGAAGTTGGCCCAGTATATTACCTTCCCACCTTATTTCTCTTATTTTTATTTAGTCTTTTGAAAAATCCACTTAATAAACATTCAGATTTCATTAAGATATCCATGTGTAGTCATAACTATTTCACCAACATTTTCCAAAGGTTCACTACACCAGTGAGATCTTCTACATTAGCAAATCTCCTGGGCCCTGACCTACTTTTCATCCACAGGGAGCCTGTCCACATTAGGCCCTCATCGGTGCAGCAGAAGCAATGGGAATGTGTATCATTTTTCTTGGGGTAGCCAAGACTGGGTTTTTTTTATTCCAGACAGGGATTTGCTTTCAACATACACAGTAAAACAATTCCATACCTATTGCTTTGTCAGCATACATCAACTTCCCACTCCTATGCCACAATATAATTATTATTTGTATTACTACAGTAAGTGACCCAGTCCCAGATCAGTTGCAGCTACACTTATTTCTGGCCTCAAAAAGAACCAGGGGCCACCCACATTCTCACTGAAAGCTTTAAAGTGACTTCAGCAAACAGGTCCCCAACAATTTCAAGGGTATTGTTGGACCTTTCCTAAAATGTAGAGAATGAATTATTAGCTCTGGCTCCCCAGAAGGGATTAACAGCAGTTCCTCCTTACTCTCACACGTACCTCTTTTCCTCAGTAGGAGGACACACATGTGTTCCCCTCTTTTCACTGAAATAAACTCCCTATTTGCACCTGACTTAGGAACGAGAAGGCCACGCTGAAAAGGCAAGTGCCAGTCAAGCTC